TGCACAGCAGAAATGAGTCACCTTAATTTTCATAATAAATACCGATGAACTAGAACTAACCTTCATAAGTAGGAAGTTATAATTAACTAGGTTGTCTGGTTAACTAAGGGTTAATTTTAAAAAAAATAACTCCTGCTCTCATGCTGTCATTCTTTTCTTTTTTTTAATGCTTTGATCCTTTTCGTTGAAAATCTTTTAAAAATGTCCATCTTTCCTTTCTGCTGAAGCTTCCTAGCACTTTCTTCATTCACCAAGATTCCTCACATTGGAAGGATCTTGAAGGTCCATGATGTGGTCATTTCTAATTTTATGGGCATGTGGGGGTGACCACTTAGCTGGGGAGGGTACCAGACTGGCATCTCCCATTGACAGTACTCCTGTAGTCATCATGAAGGCATGAGCTCTCAAAAAGCAAGAAAAAAATTTATTTCTTGGTGGAAAACCTCCACTAAGTAAGAGAGAAAACTTTGGTGAAATTTGAGAAGGTGATTAAGTCGTCTCGTCCAGATAAACATGGGAACCAGATGGTTTTTGATGGAAAAATGTGATTTGTGAGAAAGTAGAAATCAACATAAGTAGTTCTGAAGTTGCAAATTTGGGGGTTTGAGGTCCCAGAACAGAGCCTTTTGAATGTTGAGGGTCTACTATACAGACAGTGAAACATAACTGGATTCTTGATGCCGGAGGCTACGGTGGGGCCTCAGAATCATCGCCAAAGCATTGGGATAAGGGAGACAGATGTAGAGGGTATGGGAAATTGGGCTGTGCTTTAACTTCAAGGTAACTTAACAAACAAATTCTTAGTTTGGTCATTACTTGCTCCATGACCCTAAGAGATCAACGTCTAGTGATGAAAACAATATAAACACTTAACTGATTGTTCAGATTTATTACATTCTACTCAATCCTTGAGTTACTGTGTGGCTCTGTGAGGAGCTACTTTACCTGATTAAAAAAAAAATCCAGTAACTTTTGTTTAATTAACAAGAGAGGTTAAGCCTGATGAAAAGTTGTTTTGAAAATTTTACATATAGCATCCTTTGTATGAGCAGAGCTAGAGGGAATATGGTCACTACACAGTAACATTACTAGAAAGATAAGGAGGGGTTAGTGGGTTAGCTAAAGGCAGAGACCATATAGAAGAAAAGATGGAGGAAAAATAGGAATAAAGCATAGTCTTTCATTGTTTCTTCCTATTTTTCTTCTGCTGCACCCCTTACCCTCCATTCTGCAGTCAGACAAATGATAAGGAAAAATTCACACCATTCCTCACCCCACCATTTCTCCATCTACGTACACAGATATATCCTTCGGGCCTAAGTTCACACGTGACACCATTGAAACAGCAATGCCTGGTCAGTGAGTACAAGTGAGTGTTAGCCGTGCAACGTGCTGTGCCTTGGTCCTGGGAGAGACTAGTTGGGAGAGACTAGTTTTCATGTGGGACAGTGACAGAGACCAAAGGCCTCTTGCAAACCCCATGGATCTATGGAGATCGAGACCCCATGCATGTTTACCTGGGGAGCCTGCCAGAGAGTCCCCTCTGCTGAAGACGAAGGTACGAGACACAGAGATGGGCACTAAAGAGTCAAGGATTTGTGAGTTGCGTAAGGGAAGATAAACATAAAAGGAGAGAGACAAAGAGCAAAGCGTGTGAGACAGTCTGTTCCCGGATCTTCACAACATCGCATTTCTCTGCCAAAGTGAATCTTGCCTCTGGAAACATGAAAATTGCATCCTCTCACAAAGTCACTCTCCAGAAAGAAGAAAATAAAATAGACTTTGCTGAAGGTCTTCCAAAAAGATGCACAATAATTTCTGAGGGGATCAGACCCGCCAATGACAAGAACAGGCGGTGCCCCAGCAGGGAGTGTGTGTGGGCAGTGTTCTGTCTGAGGCGCCTTTTGGAGCCAGCAAATGTGCTGGGAGCCCAGCACTGTATTCCCGCCGGGCTCTCCCCGCTGCCTCAGGTCTCCAGCTCACCTGTGGGAGGGGTGAAAGCAAGTGCATGCTCCTACTAGGGGCATCCTCGAGGAAGCTGTCTCCTGCCTCAGACTCCTAGGAGCTCCCTCTGTGGTCACAGTGCTGGGGGAGAAACTGCGTGGCTAGAGCCTTGGGACACAGGAAGGGCAGCATTTCTCGCAATCTTAATGTAAATCAACTTGATAAACTAAATCAGTCATTTCTTTGCAAGTACAAGTGCTCCAAACCACCTCTCTTCCTATCCCCTTTTCCTTCTCTCTCTTTCCCCACAGAGTCTGAAATGGTGCTGGCTATCGCTTGGGGCCTGGGTGGGGTGGAGTGTGTAGCAATACTCCAGTCCTTTCCCGACCTTGACTCTGATCAAGTAGTGTTTCTGCATAGGAACCTGTTTTCATCTCTCTTATCTGGTCATTCCCAGAGTCTCTTCCAAGGAGCTAAATGAAGTCAGAGTGCAGGTGACAGCACACTGAAATAGGTGGCTTCCATAGTCTTAGCTGCTGAGCCCGATGACTTGCCTGAAATTATCCAATAGTACAAAGGAGTGGGGAGGGGAAAGCCTTATACCTACCTGATAATCATTTGCTTTGTCAAATAATCATATTCTTTGTCAAAGAATATTTTAACAGGCCCCTAGTGTCACAAGACACACTGGAATAAGAAACCCCATTGTCTCAAGAAGAATCCTAGCACTTCTGGGCCACAAATTACATGTATACCCAGCCAAGCAGATAGGAGACTTGTTCTCTCTCCAATTGCACACCACTGTGGGCATCTGTTCTGGTCACGCTGAGCTCAGGCCCCGTTCCTCCAGAGTGCCAGGCTCACCACGGTCCTCCTGGGTTCCCTGGCAATCAGAACCAAGACAAAGGAGATAGTGCTGACTGCGTTCCCTTTGCCCTGCACAGGAAAAGCAGAGGGACTTACTTGTAACCTCGAGTTCAACTGTGAGGCATTGGTCACAGGGCCAGCGTTCTGGCAAACTCATTGTCTCCTTTATTACCCTCAAGGCTGACAAAGCTCTAGGCTGGCATCAAGGACAGGGGTAGTTTGGTAGACTGAGACCCTACAAGAGTTTACTGCCTTGTGGCTCAGGTTAAGCTCTTCCTCAACCTACAGCTGAGGTCCTTGGCCAGTGAAAGATGCTGGGTGGACCTGGGCTGAGGGTGGACCTGGAACAAGGAGGGGCAGGGGGTGGGGTGGTGGTCTTTGGAGTTCTTCACGCTTTGCTGTATTAGGTAAGGAGGGCTTGGCAGGGAGGATGGAAAATGTCTCCATACCCCTACAGGCTAATTTAATTTCGTTTTCCTCCTGAAGATTGATAAAGATGCTCAGAAGTGTGGGGAGGGAAAGAGAGGTTAATATTTCTTTTTAGTTAACCAGTTTTGAAGGATGATTAGTGTTGCAAATTTACTGTGTCTCACATATAAAATGGAAGGATTTTGATAGAAAGAACTAGAGACAGGAAGGAAGGAAAGGAGGAAACCAGATAACATCTTCTTACTACTTGAAAAACTTTTTTTTAAAAGAAAGAAAGTCATCTAAATCAGATGGGCTTGGGAGCTTTAGGTAGCTCTTTTCCCCTAGAGTTCCCACATCTTTTGGTCTTATGGAAGAGCCAGAATAAGGCCAACATGTCTAGGTAACATTTCATATCCCAAGAGTTACTCTACCATGAGCAATCCCCAGTGTGATGGATGGTGGAAATCTCCTTTAGAGAACCAAGGTTTACCAGGTCCTGTAGACCATCCCTCTCCCATCTAGATTTCTTGTTCTGAGAACTGACACTTCCTTCATCAACCTTAATTGAGATTTGTTGGTTTATATAAGTATAATAATGTACGAGGATGTTTTATTTTACAGCTCTCCTTCAACTCATCTTGGACCACCCCTTGGGTGTGGGCAGCTACTTCAACTTCATTTCAGACATCTGCTGGGCTAGGATGTGAAGTTACACTGCAAATTGTTCCAATATTTCCACATAGAAATTACATTCTGGAACATGATGGATTTAAAATCTCTATTTCATTGTGCTGTGTGAACTAGTCAGGACACCGGAATGCATCTAGGTAAATCACCAGCCTGCTGGGTGATTTGGAGCAAGTCATTTCTTTAGTTTCTCTGTGTTAAAATGGTATCTACTTTTCATGTGCCACGGATTGTGATATCAAGCTTTGGGTCCCTCTGATAAATCCCAGTAAAAAGCACTATGTAAAATCTTTCTTATGATGAGAAAAAACACCCCTTTGGCATTAAAATGGCCACCATAAACACTAAGAGCTGAAAGCAATGCAAAATTCAGACTGGTGAATCAAAGAGAAATCTAGAGAAATAATGCTTTCTGGATCACACTTATATCACAATAAATGCCATGCTCTCTAAGCACAAGTGCAATAACTTATGCAGGAAACAGAGAGAAGGTAGAGCACAGAAGGCACAGAAGACACCCGCCAGCAGCCCCGTGCCAGCCCCCACCAGCATGCACGGCCAGCTGCAGACACTTCTCCACCAGCTGAGATGTGGTAAATGAGGAAAGAGAAGCAGATAAGCAACATACGCACCAGCCTGGGACTTACGTCCTAAGATCTTGCAGTCACTTCTTACTAACCGCCACAGACACAATAATAGCGTATTAGGGTTTGCAAGTAAAGGACAGTGGGTGAATTATCACAGCAGCGAAGGAAAGCCTGAACCTCCACCAGAGCACACAAATCACCTGCCTGCATTCCCTGGCAGGTGACAATAAATGGGGCCTCCCCTCACAACCTCCCTCCCCCGTCATTCGTCATTTGCACGTGAGCAGAGAAGCAGCAGAAAACATTCCAGACACGCAGAAACTAAGCCCCCTGTGGTCCGTGGGTACCTGGCAGAAAGCAGTGTTCCTGGCAGAGCATACAAAGAGGCTGCCAGCATTTGTGTTAGCCCTAGCCCAGGCTGAGAGTGCTCGGTCCAGGTCCCCAGAGTGGGCTGAGGCAGGACCACAGCAGGGAGGATGAGGGAGGGGTTTGAGAGATACATACGAAGGACAGAGGATCCAGCCAGACTTCCAACCTTCCGCACATCGTTATCTAAGGACAGAAGGATGCAGTGTGTTTCAGAGGCAATTCAGAAAACACACCTTCTTAAAGGAATTCTCCCTCTTCCACCCCACCCACAGCACCAATCAACCCTGTAAAAACAGGGCAATCAGGTGGAAGTGTAAAAAGTAAAATAAACTTGTCTTTTCATATTGAAAATTACCACTATCCATCCCTAACACTGGGTAATGTTACAGTCTACCATGTACTTCCACATCTAAAGCCTGGGAAGGTAAAAGGCTTGTTCAGGGTCCATAACGGGAGTCACAACTTGAACCCAGATGCATTTTCTCCACTGTCCTACTGCTTCCCCAATAAGCTATGGCTTGGAAACTGGAATACCTGAGCAAGCAGTGGTCATGATGGCTGGGACACCATAGTAGGTAAAGGCTCCGTTCTCGAAGCGAAGGCCTTCCTTACCAACCTCCACCTCCACTTTACCCTGGAGAAAGAAGGAAGTGTACTAAGGGTGTGGACAGCACTTCCAGATCTACTAGTGATTACGACCCTAAGCACTTCTGCTTGGATAGTAAGTGGACTTAAAATCTTATCACAGGGAAATGTGAATTCTGTCTGGATACGTTTCAGAAACAGCAACTCCAACTTCAGAAGGCCTTGGCAGTAAATGACTTGCTTAGTTCATAAAGCAGCATCCTGTCATGTACATCCAAGCTTTCCCTGCAGACTGTAATGGCTCTTCCATGATGCGGGTCCAGGCACCAGCTAGCCCAGAACCCTGTAAACTGCCCCACAGGTGTAGTCTGAGACTAAACCATCTCTAAGTCTGGCTGAGATAAAGCCTGATTCTGTGAGAAGCTTGTGCATATAGTGTGCGTCTATGGGCCTGAAATCCACTGCATGGATCCGCCCACACCCTATGAAGCCTGTACTATTTTTATTCCCAGTTTATAGATGAATCATTTCTGAGGCTCAGAGAGGTTAAATAGCTCGGTCACGGTTAGTTAGACTTTAAAGCTAGATCTTTCCAATTTCTGAACCTACATTCTTGCCACTACATTTTACGCCTCCAAGATTTATTTGAAAATGGTTAAGTTTATATTAGGCATAAGACTCTATGTGTTCCTTGTGTTATATAAACGATGTAACAGGACACTTCTCCATTTCCAACAGTAAAGAATGCAACTCCATTTCTGGAGAAGAGAGGGCATTTTATTGAGGCTATCTGGAAGGATGGGTGTGAGGCACACTACCGAGTCCGAGCAGACAGGCTGCAGGGGAACTGTAACAGAGAGGCCCTTTCTAAGTCAACGTGAGTTTAATGAAGATTTTAAGACAATCACTGTATTTAGGGTTCACCAGATTCTGTTGGAAAGAGACAGGGAATAGGGACGGAGTTAATGGTGGAGCCAGGCCAGGACACCAGCACTACCTAGTGCTGGAACCATGCCTGACACTTACTTACAGGCCTTTCCAGGCACCCGGGGCAAAGGGTGACTCTACTCCTGTGAGTACCGGGAAGATGCTGCCCCTCTTTCATTTGCTCGTTTATTCCCTTCCCAGTCTTCTGAAGGAGGAGAAGATTAAGGGACTGCAAAGGCTGAAGTGTGGTAGAGAGAGCGGATGTGTTCTGTGTGCTTTCAGAGAGCAGAGCAAGGACCAGTGGGTGGAAATCAGAGATGGTGAGATTTCAGCTCAACAGAGAGAAGGGCCTGAAACAAGAAGTGCCTGAAGTTTGGGAGGCAGTGCACAGTTGCATTCCCGGGCATGGCCAAGCAGAGACAAGGAGGTGTTAGCGATTCTGTAGGGCAGCAGGTTTGGAAATTCAGCGGCAGAACCCCTCTGCTGGGAGGTACCCACTGCATCCCACCACAAACATCACTGATGTCAGATTAAATGCCATCAAGATCCCACCACTCCAGGACGCCAGCCAGTCACACCTGTCCCCTCTGAGCGTCGCGGACAAACACCCACACCAACTGGCCTTGCTCCCAGGGCAGCCAGCCGAGCCTTGGAGCCTGGCACAGAGGAGGCATGGCCGTTCCTCTCCAGTCTAGAGAGGTCCTGTCTTGCCCTTGGGGGGTCCGTGGCTTTCCCACTCACCTGCAGAAGTAGCACAAAGTAGTCCACAGGGCGGTTGCGCTGGTACAGGTAGTGTTCCGGGGCCTTCTTGTTCTTCTCATCACACTTCAGCTCCTGGATCACGTTGGGATGTTTCAGGAGCCGCAGCAGGATCTTCTCCGAGAGGTACAGAGACTTAAACGGCTCCACTTCTAGGGGAGACCGGGAGGCAGGAGGAATTGGCAGCTGGGAGGAGTCAGGATGGGCACAGCCAGGGCCATTCATGCTCTCGGGCACCAAGCTAGCAGGATTCCTGCAGTTCCCTTGGGTGGGTGGGGGTCTTAAGCCCACGTATGTGTCTCAGGCCCTCTGGGGATGTGTGTCCCTGCACTGGCACCTCAGGAGAAACAGGTCACCATTTTGGCAATGTCAGTTTTGTTATTGTTTTTCTCCTTGACTTTATTTAAAGCTGCACATAAACTTAAAAAAGAAGAAAATCCTGCCATTTGTGACAACATGGAGGAACCTGGAGGATGTTATGCTAAGGGACATAAGCCAGGCACAGGCACAAATACTACTCGATACCATTATATGATGAATCGAAAATAGTAAAATTCATAGAAGCAGAGAGAATGGGCTGGGGGAAGGAGGGAATGGGGAGGTATTAGTCAAAGGGTACAGAGTTCTGGCTATGCCAGATGAATAAATCCTAGAGATCTACTGCTCAGCCTAGAGAGCCTAAGAGCAATACTATCCTGTATACTTAAAAATTTGCTAAGGGCTTCCCTGGTGGCGCGGTGGTTGAGAGTCCGCCTGCCGATGCGGGGGACGTGGGTTCGTGCCCCGGTCCGGGAAGATCCCACATGCTGCGGAGCGGCTGGGCCCGTGAGCCATGGCCGCTGGGCCTGCGCGTCCGGAGCTTGTGCTCCGCAACGGGAGAGGCCACAACAGTGAGAGGCCCGCCTACCAAAAGGAAAAGATAAAAAAAAAA